GCGCGCGTAGAAGGCAGCACAGCTCGCTTTCCTAAACAATTTACTCTCTCGCACCGAGAACACGAAGAAAAGTCGAAAAACCCAGAACACAGCGGCGGCTGCAGTGCGTTGTACACAATTCGCATTTTTATTGGCGCCGAAATAGCGAAGTTTTTCGGGACAAAGAGGCGCGCTTATACGTATATATGGGAGGGACTCTCGCGCGACTCTTGACAGAAAATTTATCGCGACTCGACGAGCGAGCGACTTATGCCGAATTCAAAGTTACGTACGCATATAAATGTGTACGCTATATCGTATCGAACGCACACGCGATGTTTTATGCGAAAAGTGCGAGGAGAAAAACAGGCGAGTGTTTTATTCTTACGCGTAGTGTGCGGAGTTTGTTATACGAGGCGCAGCTTTTTATTTTTATGCTCTACGTGCGCGCGCTCAAAACATACATAATATAAGAGCACGTGAGCCTTTTGACGCTCGTGTCCAAGTTTGCGTATAATTTTTTCTTTCTTTCTTTTTTTCCGGTAAAACTCGATACCAGGCTGTTCGCACACGTATACCTTTTCTCAATGGTATAATGAATTATTATCTCCAATTAATAACGCTCGCGCGTATTGAAGAGACTTGAAATATTTCTCGAAGAACTGCGAGTAAGAGAGAATTCGGCAAATTTTGGGAGCCGTTAGCTCCTGCCTTGTCTGGAAAGTGGACAAGGAAAAATCACCGCGTGCGCGCGCGTTTTAGGCACCTTTTTCTCATCTCCACCCATTGTATGTTAAAAGCCGAACACGACTTTTCCCTCGAGCCCTACACCGAGACTACTAACGCCGTTGTACTCGCAACGCTATCCTCTCGGCATAGTCTCGAGTCTCCCGCATGGACTCTCTGCGTGTAATGCCTTTTCTCCTCTTTCTCTTCTCTTTCCTCTCTCTCTATTTCCTTTTTTTTTATATTTATCGTCGTTACTTCTGGCAGAAAAATCAGTCGCGTGCGGGGCTGTGTGTCGTCTACCGGCGTTGTTGCCACTACCGCCGTCGCCGTCGCCGCTGACTCTAAAACGCGCGGAAATGGCCTTATTCGCGTTCCCGGTGAGCTGCTCCTGCAGCTGCGGAGTACGTGAGTGCGATTTTATTGCTTAAACTGCCTTCGAGCGCGCCGTATACGCTATCGCGTGTTGTTTTTGCACTTGACAAAGAACTTGCGTGACTCGAACTGTTGATTTTCAGAGCGGCTAAAAAGGGCGCCTTTATACCATCGTTAGGTGTGGTATTAATTCATTTTTTAGCCAAATAGGTTTAAAAAATGTGAGTAAAATTAAAAAAGGATATGGAGGGACGAACTTAGTTACTAGAGCGCCGCGTAAACAACTGAATCTTCCCCTCTCACTCTTCCTCGATCTTGTGAATTGATGTCTCAATGCGTGCGTACTGTTATCGGTTGAAAGTAAATGTATCATAACTTGTAAAAGCAAAAGAACTCTCCAGCGGGGAATCGAACCCCGGTCTCCCGCGTGACAGGCGGGGATACTTACCACTATACTACTGAAGATTTGAAAAATGGAGTCTTAAGCCGAAAAAATCGGAGCAATCGCGACTCCGAAATAATTTGAGCTTTCGGGACTCCGAAAAATGGAACAATCGTGGTTTTGCAAAATTTCGGAGCAATTTCGACTCCTTAAAAAGCGGAGCAATCGATCCTGCGTGATATTTGGAGCAATATTGAGTCTACTGAATTCGGAGTAACTGAAACAATGCCAAATTTGGAGCAACTATAACACTTTAATATTCGAAGCATTTGCAATTCGGTTCGATTCGGAGCAATTTCAATTTTTATGGTATTTTCGGGAACAATGGTCTTTTTAATACTTAATTTTATTCATTTGCTCCAGAATTTTTTAATGAAATTTGCTCCAAAATTGTTTTTCTTAAATTAAAGAATAAAAATTGCTCCAAAACTTTGTTTGCTCCGTTTTGCCAAAAGATGATTTGCTTAAAAATCGTTTTGCAACATCTTTGGTGCCCAACTATAAGAAGTGCTCCAAAATGATAAAATTTACCAAAAAATCTCTCCAGCGGGGAATCGAACCCCGGTCTCCCGCGTGACAGGCGGGGATACTTACCACTATACTACTGAAGATTTGAAATTTGGAGTCGTAAGCTGGAAAAGTCGGAGCAATCGACACAACACGCGACACAACACGTGACAGAACGGAACGTCAACTGCGTACCCAGGGACCTGAACATCTGCGAAGCCCTGGCCAGGATGTACAAGGCACCGGTAAAGCTAGCGATTATGGTTGTCGGCGCGCTGGGCGAAATTTTGGAGACCCCGACTCTCGCTGCAACCTACCAACACCTGCAGCAGCTCGGAGTGACGAGGAACGGCTTGAGAAGGTTGGAGAGGCAGTGCAGTCGCAGCGCGGCGATGTCTTCGGCGAAGATAATCATGAGGCGACTGCGATGTGGACGAGGAACCGCGACCCCTTAAAAAGGAAAACCCGACTACGACTCGATCCTGGCGACAACCAAGACAGAGACTGGGTGCAACATGCGCACACAATGTAACTGATTGTCCGATGAAACTTTTGCTTGTATATGCTGAGATTTGTATGTAAATAGGTATATATGTAAGGAAGTTGCATCAATAAAGACAAAATACACTATACTACTGAAGATTTCAAAATTGGAGTTTCCAGGTAAGAGAAAATCGAGAAAACGCGACTCCGAAATAAAAACGGAGCAATCACTTTTTTAAAGAATTAAAATCTTTATATTCGTAAAGACTCCGGAGTACAACAAATTATGAAGCATTTGCAACATGTATTCATTTCAGAACAAAAAATATTTGGAGTTTATTTATCTTATATAATTTTAGAGCAAGTCAGATTTTACATAAAATTTTATTGATATAAATCCACAGTAAAATTGTACGTTAAAAATGTGTAAAAGTGATGAATTTTGCAAAGCAAATCATTGCTAAATTCCGATGAAAATAGAAAAAGTTTAGCGCGACGCAGCAATAAAGATTTCATCACTTTTAAAAGACTGCACTCGCCTAATGAGATTGATATTTACGCGTGTAAACAAAGAGCCATTAATTGTTGCGGCAGTGCAGCTGCGCTTTTCTATATGGCTCATTTTAACGAGCGAGCAAAATGCCCATATATTATGCATCCGAATGGTAATATACGTATATAATTTCGGCTTTGGAACAGCATAGTTGAAAGAGAAAGAGACTAGGGGGGTTATATAGCAGCACCTTAAACATAGAAGCACGTAGTATGCGCGAGGAGCACGTATAAACATGCATGCAAAGTGTAGCGTTATGCAAGCGCAAAATACGCGCGCCGGCGAGTGAGATATTTCTGACGCGCCGTGCGTGCTAGCCTCGAACCTATATAGTATACACTACGGGGATGCTGCTGCTGCTGCTGCTGTTGTGGTGCGTGGGAGAGTGGGGGGATCGAAAGCGAAGAGAGAGAGAGAGAGAGAGAGAATGGGTCTCTAGTCTGCGAAGGTTTAAGAAGAAAAGGAATTGAATGGTAGCGAGAGCGGACGTGTATGCCGTGTTGTAGCGGCCGCCTTATAGGCTTGGGAGTAGGATGAGTCGAGCGAGAAACGAACGGCACATTTCAGTCAGTCGCTCGTAGAATGGAGGAGAGTGAACTTCGGTGATCGTTGCGTGCGTGCGTGTGAGAAGTGGCCCCGGCCTCGAACGGCAGCGTATAATATACACAACGAGAGAATTTCGGTGCGCCGCCGTGTGCGAATTTAATACATGTATAGTGAATGCGCCCGAGCAACAGTGCAACATTGAGTTTTTGATTCAAGTTTTGTTTTAATATACAAGTTCAGTGTGCAGTTCGCCCTCCTCTGCTCTACAGAGAGCGTTTCTACGATTGTGTGATATAGAGTTAATTGTGCAGTATTACACGTTTTTTTCTGTTTTTGAGTGCAACAAAAGTTTTTGATCTTCGTCGTTGCTAAATAATCGCCAAAAAAAATGTGAGTGATTCGTGCCTCGAGATCAAAGTCGCATTTGTATCTCGTTGTTTAGGGATTTTTTTCCCTTCCTTTTTTTTTTTTTTTACTACTCGTCGAGTGATTATCGAGCGACGCGTTTGAACATCACCGAGACCAATAATAATACAAATGTATTAGCCGTGAAATAAAAACATACCGTTCCGTCGAATTGTTCCGAACGAACGAAAGCATTTTTATTTGGCGCTGACGTGAGAAACCGCGTCGTGAATCTCGTGTGCTCGGTGATAATTAGAGTCGCGAAGCCTTAGTCGCGCGCAGAGAAAGAGATGATTCGTGAGATATTTCTTGTCAAGTCATCCGAGGAATTTGAGGCATACAGCACACAAGAGTGGTCCTTTTGGCGAAACATCGAAAAATTAAATTGCTCGAAAAAGTCGCGTCGCGATTCGAATCTTCGTTCTCTTCCACTCTACACCTTTATTCGAGCCTTCGAGCCCGCCGCCGATCTATTGTCACTTATTTTACGGCTAACTTATGTGTCGCGCATACTCGAGCTCTCCGTCTGTGACGGGTTGACACGAAATATTGCCTCTCTTAATTGCTAATTCCGGATCGATTTCTAAAAGCTCCGTGATAAATGATGAATTATTCAAATTCGCGTTTTTATACACGGAATGTAGTAAGCAAATCGCAAATGAACATTTGAGCGCGCGTGATTTATTGCGCTACCAGTGGCGCAGCTTTGTCTTTCCTCTTACCCTTCTTGACTACTTGAAAACTTTTCGCTAACGTGCGTCGCGCACATTTGCCACGGCTCTCGTCGTGGCGAGCACCAAACTTTTTACCTTTTATAAAGTGAAAAATATTTCTAACAAAAAAAATATTCTTCCCAACTTATGTGTACGTTAAAAAACGAACGACCGGTGTCGACTATAATATCTTTCATACAAAGAGAATTAATGTAAAATTGTTGATATGGCATCGTTGCTAATGTTCGCCTGTGTTTCGGTTGTGTTGTAGAATGGTCATCGATGTCAACTAAGAAACAACGCTGCTAACCCGAGGAACAGCATTAACATCATGGCTTCGAAATCGCTTCAGGACACTATATCAAAGGTACGTGTGTTTTTCAGTTATATACCCTGTGTGTGTGCGTGACTTTGATTGCCCGTTTGGTTCTCTGTATACGTTTTCGCATTTTCGTTTCGACGACGTTTATAACTTCTCTCTACTTTTGTCGTAAAACATATATACCATACAGACCGTCCTTTGCCTCGAAAAAGTCACTCTCTCATCTAGCTGTCTGGATCTATAAAAGAAAGAAATGCCATTGTGTCCCTTGGTGTGTGTGTGTAAAGCTATGAAACCGATGAATTCTTGATTATACCGCGTTTATTGTGTAGACGAGTTTGAAACAAAGAACGGCCCAGACTTACGTATTTAGGAGAGTTAGTTTGGCAACAATAGCCCGGCTGCTGCTGCTGCTGCTGCCGCTCGAGCTGAAAAGCATCAGATAGAACAATCTATGATAATGAAGCGAAATGCCGCTAATAAAATATATATCCGTGTGATTCATTACAATTTTTATCATCGCATAAATCTTTCGACGCGTATATTTCGTCTCTCGAGTTTTAAAAAAAAAATTGTTTGATCGTCGATGTTGATTAAAAGTGGCGATTTATTTACCCAAATCGTTATTAGGCCCGGTGTGAATTCCACGATTAAAAACGAATTATATGCCAATTAGCGTCGTAATATGATGCAGTCGTATATACAAACGAGAATTTATATTAATCATTTTTATTTTTGATCGATTTCTTAATTGGATTCTTCAAAATACATAAGCTAAAAGTATCACATGGGCAGAGCTCTTGCGACAGTTTAGTCTACTCGGGAGAAAAACACAATTCTTCATATTTCGTATTATGAGAAAACATCGCGATTTGATCTATGTTCGAAATTTTGTGTTTTTTTGATTTATGGGGGCCTCGCGTGTCTGTCTGCTGCGTGATTCGCTCGGTGGTGGGGTAGGAAAAGTCAAGATGTTGGATTAATAATTCCATGACTCGGAGCTCTGTGTGTATTCACACATCGTTTGCAGATGGCGCGAAATCGATTCTTTTTTCCGAAAAAAACCGCATACAGACGCGATATCGAAGCTATTGTAAATATATCCGCGTTGTTTTAACGCTAAACAAATGATTGTCATATATACTGTACATAACGTTGCGTTATAGCGTGACGCATTCGTGTATCTGAATTACGACCTAATTTGAATGGGATACCAGTTTGTCAGGCAGTCGCAAGCGCGCTACATACACACATCGAGATTGAATACTAATTCACCCCCTACACACACACACACATACACACATACACAGCGCTTGCGACGAGATAAGTGTGAAGGATGTGTCGCACGGCGCGCATGGAGCATGAATTAAATTGAGATACTCGCGCGAAGCGGCTCGGCTTTATCTGCGCGATAATAATTTTCTCTCCGTTTGAAATTTCGACTCTCTCTCCCTCTCTCTCTCTCTCTCTCGCTCTGTATTATGATACGTGCGTTAGATGAATTAGATGCTTCGTTACTTATGTATTTCGGCGCTGGGGTGGAAATTAGTGAAAAAATAACACAACAGCTTGTGCATCGCCCCCCCATCCATCCGTCTAGAATTGAAATTTTAGTTGCTATATAACTAGAGTTATAACTCGGCGCTAATAAACTGACAAATGTTTTTCCTGATATAATTCACAATCGTACTAATTCGCTGAAAATATCGCTACAATTTTTTTGTTTTTTTTTTTTGCTTCGGCGTCCTCGAGCAAGGTGCTATATGTAAACAATTTACTCAGCGATTTTATATGAAAATATCTTCCAATTTTTTTTCTCTCTTTGAACGCGTTTGCTCGCGAAGCTCTTAAGATTAAGGAGGCGTAACGATGATGATGATGGAAAAAAAGGGAAAAGAGTTTTTGAAGAAATGAGATTTGCTCCTTTATCTACTTCAATCTCTGAAAGTCGAGTCATGAAAGGGAGAGCGAGAAAGAGGGAGCAATAGAGTGAGAGAGAGAAAAGAGCCGGGCGAGAGAGGACACGGTTCTGTAGAGAAAGAGACGACGAGGTGATGCTGCTGCTGCAAAGAAGAAGAATTAAAGCTAATTTGGTTTTTCTTTTTTTCTAGTCTTTTGCTGCTTGACTGCGGTGAAATTAATTAAAATCCGTTTTTCACCCACCCCACGTACATATATAGGCTAGAGAAAATTGACTCGTTTCTATTCATTTTCGCATATTGAACTCGACAAAGAGTCGTTGCTAATTTTATTTCTATTTTTTTTCGTCGCGCGTCAAAGTGTGAAAGAATAAAAATCAAATCCTCGAACTTTGCAATCAAAAACTGTCGAACATCGGTGAAGTCTATAGCTCGTCGTTAAAAGAGAAAAAGAAGAAACATACCGGCATCTTAATTGTCGCAATGGTTTCACGCTTTTCCGATCAGTCGCACAAAAGCGAGCCAGCGAGAAAGAAAGATCATTTTACTGTTACCTTTCCTCGTAAAAAGAACGCATTATGGCGCGCGCGCGCGCAAAAGAGCTAGCTAGCTCGCGGCGGGCGCTCGTAAATGGCGAATTTATATCGCGCGCGCTATTGTCGACATCATAAAAAGCAGCAGCAGCACAGCCGGCTAAAATCATCCTGTTCGCGTTCGAGATGATGTTTTTTTTATTTCCTCTTCCACGCAGCTATATAGCTGGAGCTCGTTTCTGTACGACGACGGTGGCGTGTTGTTTTCTCACTTGACGCAGCAGCAGCAGCAGCTAAGGCCTTGGGTGCTTTTGTTAGTTGTTCTTTACGACTGTAACCTGCTGCTGCTAGCATCATATACTTTTCGTATATTTACACTCGATCATTTGCGGCACTTGGATTTTCCAAATTCCTGCGACGTTATTTCGCGCGTTTATTATTAATGAAAAGCGCGCGCGCGCGCGGCAAAAAGTGCGCAATGCCAATGCTTTTGTGCGGAGTGGCAACAGCAACCTTTTCTTTCAGCGCTGCGCGTATACCGCACCACAAAGCCTCGGAGAGCAGCCTCTCTTTGCTTCACGCGCTCTCATCATCATCATCGTCTCGAGCATAAAGGTGCTGAGTACGCGTGCGTGTATCTGTATCTGTTGGCATGTGTGTGTGTGTGTGTGTTCAGAGGAAAGAAAATGAGAAGCGAGTAGCAGAGCTCGGGAGATGGGAACATTTGCGCAAGTACAATGCGAGAATGCCTCTCGCGCTCCGAGCCCAGCAGCGGCGGCGGCAAGTGTATTTCTAGGCAACGACGCTGAAGACGACGACGACGACAGCACGACTAGGTGCATGGAAGCGCGAAGCTCAAAAGTCTTTCTCTCTCTCTCTCGTCTGCTGTTGCTGCTGCTTCCGCAACGTGCAGCAACAGCAGCAGTTTAGAGTTACGCCAGCTGACTCGACGTTTCCTTACATATAAGCGTATACCTGTGTGCATGTGTATACATATACCTATAATATAATGCCAAGAGTACAAATGTGCGCGCGCCCTGTACTCTGTTTAGTCGTATAAGCGAGAGAGAGAGTCTCTAGTTGCAACGAGTATTAAACGAAAAAAGCTGCTGCTGCGCGATGATTGAATTTTTTGCGCTACGGAATTCATCTCTCGTCGTCTTCGTCGTCGCGTGCGTACACGCTAGGATGAACTTACCGGAAATTTCCTTGCTGGAAGACTGACTGCTTGATTATGGATAATTTGAGATCCTTAAATGCAGCAGCCAGCAGCAGCAGCATTATGCATGTCGACTATTTTGCGCGCGCCCGATTGTCGATCGGTCGAGTTTCGTCTGCGCGCACAATAAATAGAACCTTATACCTTTTTCCCGTCGTCGTCGACGTAGTTCGCGACTCCGCAACTGTTTCATTTTATCAAAGTCACAGCTCTTACGGGGTCTCGATTTATAACCGCAAAAAAGGGAGAGAAAAAAAAATTAAAACCGCTACAGAGAGCAGCTCCGAGAAAAGAGATTCGAGGAGAGGTATAAGGGGAGGAGGAGGAGGTGTGCGTTAGAGCAAAGTAGGGGAAGGATCCATATGATCCTAATTCGAACGGTCGTAAGGCGCGCGAAAACTCGTCGTCGTCGTCGTCGTCGTCATTTTATAACCGCAGACGCCGCTGCGGCGAGAAATAACCTCGCGCACCGCCGCCACCGAGCTGCATAACTATACCTAGAGGTATATATAACGTAGAAAGTGTCAAGACGACGACGACGACGACGACGCTCGAATTTCGTCGTGCTGCACTGCTACTGCGGCGGCGTCGGTGGTGGTTCTCGGGCCTCGGGGAAATTTTCCTTTAGTCTTCGCGAGTCGAGCTAGAGTCGGCTATGTTATATAGCTTCGACGCGTCGACACGACTCTTGGGCTAAAAATTCGAAGAGAAATAAAAAATTGAAGGTTCTTTATTATAAGCGAGCGAAACTTGATGTCGTAATTTCTGCGGCTTCGTGCGAACATAGACGCGAACCGACTCCTTTGATTTCAAAAGATCTTGACTGTACGATGTATTGAATTACGATGAACGCGTGGCGACGCTTAAAACAACGACTGGAATATTAATTATAATGGTTTAGTATACATCATACAGGACGGATAAAAATTCTTATATGTATTCCCAACGATATATTGTCACTAGCGAGTTTTGCTAAAAATACATCGTTCGCCATCTATTGGCGATTTATCAATTTAAATGGTATCTAGAGTATCACTGTCTAACATAGTAATTTTTGTTGTATATTCTATCAAACTTCTTCTAATTTTTTCTCAGTGTATTCTTATGCCGTTCGCAAAATTTCTCTCCTTCCTCAGCGTCGTGTGTGTCTCTTGTAATTAATGAAACGTACTTTTGGTGACTGCGCGCATCGAGTTTCGCATCTCTGCCGCCTCGAACTCGCAAGAATACGCGACGACGCAGCGTTTTGATTCGAACAAGCAGAGAACTATAATTGAGAGCTTGCTCTGTACGCGCGTACTCGTATTTTTAAAAATTTATTTCATTTTTTGCAAATTCTACACCCAAAAAAGTTTTGCAAATTTCGTCGGCGTA